ACAATATTGTTAAATAAAAATGTCAAAATGACCATAACACAATGAGATTAACTGTCCGTGTCCATGTGTGTACAGCTGCCGTGTTTTGCGTTACTGACAGCGTAAGCTTGAGAGGGCGGGTCCAGTGTGATTATCTGTGGTACAGCTGAAATACAAGGCTGTAGTGACAATACTAGAACACAGTGTGCCAGCTGGAGAGGTCATTCTGAGGCCTCCACCCACTCCGGACAGTGTGCGTGTTTGTGTGTGTGTGTGTGTGTGTGTGTGTCTGTCTTGCAGACAGAGAGGGAATGACAAACATAAAGGCTAGTGAGTTGTGAACATGCAGCACAAAAAACATGAGAAATGATGAGAGGTAGTCAGGGAACCGGGCTGTGTGTGCGTCATCAGGCGTTTTAAAAGGTGAACGCAGTTAGATGTCATATAGTAGCTATCCTGCATGTTAGCTGCTTAAAAAACACCTGCTGACACAAACACATTTTGTCACTTTTTAGCACCAGTTGGCCACACATCAGCCTAACAGCATGAGCACAACTCACAGATGAAAACACACCCAATGGGCTGTACTTTTCAAAAACCAATAGTGAAGAAAAACAACATACTTTCACTGTGTATTCATACAAAGCTTCTATATACAGCATAGTTGTGTATGTATGTGTGTTTTTTGTCATGTCTTCCTCTCGTCATCGCCAACTGGTCACGGCAGACGGCTGCCCCTCCCTCAGCCAGATTCTGTTGGAGGCTCTTCCTGTTAAAAGGGAGTTTTTCCTTCCCACTGTCACCAAGTTCTTGCTCAAATGGTTGGGCTTTACCTCACAACATAAAGCGCCTTGGACCAACGGCTCTTGTTATTTGGCGCTATATAAATAAAGTTGAAATGAATTAAATGTACGTACAGAACAGAACAAGTGTTTTCTCATGACAGCCTGACTCCTTTAAATGTATCTTTCATGAAGCTATTCACTGGCCACATTACATTATAATAATACTTACTGTAAACCTGGCCAAACACACAGGCACACACTGGTATCAGCCCTAAATGTGCAAACCTACTGTACACACTCATGATCATTAGTCTACATTGTTGCATCCCTGGCCTGTTTACTGTACACACATTAATCTCATTCAGTTACACAAAGGTGCTGAGATGGTAGGATTTGGTAAGCGTCGAGTTACCAAATCAAGATACCCAACTTGTTGCTGTGGGTTATTTAAACTCTCAGCTGGGAGCAACAGAACGATACTGAACGGGTGATAATGAACATGTTAAATTGCATACTATATAAAATGAAAACGACTCTGTCTGCCTCATTCCTCTTTTCCTCTGCTTTCTTTCTCTCCCTATGAGATTGAATCCTCCTCTTTCACATGAATCTCCCTTTTCTGTCTGTGTGTGACTGACTCCCTATAACCCACAAAGACACACATATACAAGCACATTGGACCTGCTCCTTCTTTTCTTCTTTGATTGCATTTTCCTCCTCCAAATTTCCATTAGAGTGAACTGGTGTGGTCATGATGGCCATGAAGCAGCGGCTACTGGTGCTTCAACATCGATGGAAAGCAGCACTTCTAAAAAAAAATAGAAAGCCGTACACCCCGATGAGACTGCGATTAACTCAGCATGAGATAATAAATGAGTGATGAGTAGTAAACCAGGTACAAAGTGAAACAGTTCTGTACCAATCGTTGCATTTTATCTGGATTTTAATGCTCTCTCTGAGAACAGTTCAGCAGTTAATGTGACTATAAAGCGCGATAAGCGTAAGCGTAATGCAGCCAGTGTCTCAGACACGACAGTGGAGTGAATATTTGATGACATCTAGCTGCTTCCTCTACAAAGGTTGAACACACTCATTGTAAATCACTTTAGAAAACCGTGTCTGACAAACGGATGGAAAGCAAAAACAAAACAGGTTTGAAAATTGTCACTACAAAGGTCGAACTACGCTTTGCACAGAGGTTTGTTCGGATACGGTTGCGCATCTGTTTGTTTTGAACTGTCCTGTTTTCTTCTACACTTTCACATTTCAAACCAGCCTCTGGACATGAGTCGAATAAAGCAGCCAATTTTCCCAACACGGAGGTCTGCACAATGCATGGTTGACATTTGGGAGTTGTGTGTGTGTGTGTGTGTCAACACGTCTGCAGGCCTCCTCCAGCCTGCATTTAACCACAACACTCTTCTCTAAGACGGCTCGTAGAGATTTTTCTTGTATATTTAAGGGAAACTAAATCTCAGCTTGCAGAGGTGAGGTAAACTCTGGTCACTTGGGGACAGCTATGCAGGAATAAAAGTCAATCCAAAGGAAAGCATCCAGTGTAAGGCCTTTAATAAGTCAGTAACAACCTTCAGCCTTGATTACTCACAGGCCCATTAGCTGTTAAAATACTGTTATATGTCACAATTGCAGCTACTCAGATCCAGTTTCAGTAAAAAAAAAATGTATCTGAACAAACACAGAGTTCATGAATTGTGCTTTTTTGTATACTTGGTACCTTTGTGTGTGTGTCTGTGTGATATCCCCTTTAGAACAGCTCCCACTCCTGTGCTATGCATGGTCATTTGGGTTGAGGAACCATGCTCTGCTTGAAGGTGGTGCTGTCAGCTAACACGTCTGCTAAACCTGTCTGCCTTAGCTTCTAGAGCTAAGGAGGAAATGTTCATCTTCTAAAAACTGTAATTTAACAGTACAAAAAACAACCATTTTAATGAAATAACAGCTGCATCTGATGTGATTATTGATTGTTTGGATTGTGATAGAGTGTGTGGAATAGGAAATTGTGCTAATATTGACATGACTGCATCATACAGGTATTGCAGGTTGCATATCCATGAGGTTCCACCACACCCCAAAAGTGCTCTGTTGGATTGAGGTCTGATGACTGTGGAGCTCATTTAAGTACACTGAAGTCACTGTGGTGTTCAAGAAACCAGTATGAAATTAAGTGCTTTGTGACATGATGCTCAGCTGGTACTGTAGCAAGAAACCCAAAATGACACCACCACCAGATGCAAGACAAGATGGATTCATACTTTTATCTTGTTTGCACCAAATTCCGACCCTTCATCTTTCATCCCTATTCTAATGCTCAGATTGAACTTCAGCAGGTCGTCTTGACCGTGTCCACGTGCCTAAATGCACTGATTTACCGCCACACGATTGGCTTAGATATCTACACAAATGAGCAGTTAACCTTTTAAGCACCCACGCACCCAAAGATGGGAGCAAAAGGGAGGAGATTGCGGAGATCAGAAAACTGATGGAGGCTTAACAGCTTAAAGCAGTGTGTCTAATAAAGTGGCCAGTAAGTTTATTTATTAAAACATGAAGATTCCTCCACCAATTTGAATTAGCAGAGTCAGTACTTCATGACTCCTTATACAATATAAATGCGGGTAAAGAAGAGAAGATGACAGACAGCAGCAGGAAGGTAATCCTATAATTAATTAATTATGTAACAGGTAATCGATATTTGTAAGCAGTGTAGCTTGCAGCAACACTGATCTACTCTTTAAGGATTTACACTCTAGGACGTACTCTAGAGTTTCACCTTTTTCATATCTGTGACCAACACTCAGGGCTGATCAGCATTACAGGTCACAAAGCTAATGGCCACCCTTCATGTGTGTACACAAAACTAAGCGCACAAGAAACAGGCAGAGCGTTTGACCACATGTAATTGTGGGTGAGCACGGATGTATCTGCGTGTGTTATTTCTTCTAGGTCAGTGTGAAGACAACCACAGAGAGCACGCTCTGTTCCGTCGGTCACGGTCCAGTGCAATCAGTAGTCGACACTGCTTCTGCACGCACCCATTGTGTGCTTGAGCAGAGTTTGTGTGAGAGGGAGAACAAAAAAGATAATAAACAACGTGTTGTTTGATCAGTCAGTGAGTTAATTTGCATATGTATGTCGCTACTTACGGCTCCATTTTAATCCCTCCCCATTCCTGTTTCTTTCCCTCCCTACATTTCCATAGTAAAGAAACATGGTAAGGAGACATTTACTCCACGGCTTTTTGGTAGAGCTGCTCTAACACACAAATACCCATCAGACCTTGGACATTTTCCCTTTTTCTGTGATCAAAGCACATCATAATGACCTGTGTGCATGCCAAACTGTTGCATATTATTGCAAAAAAAAACCACATACATGCATGTAGACACACACACACACAGTTCATAATGTTCAGAGTCATCCACATGTACAGTAAATGCTGGATATTACCATCATTGAGTGTTATACTAATCAGTCTTTAAGTGTTCCCTCTTCCCTATTTTTTCATAGATCTATTAAAGATCAGGGCCAGTAAGAGCTGCAGCTGAGAGTTGAAGCTGGCTCTCACTGGTCCTCTCCAATATACACCAACTTCAGTTTTTTTCACCTATGCTATTGAATATTATTATTTTGTGAGGTTATGCCTGGCCATTGAAAAAAAAAGAAAAGAAAAGCAGACAATCGCTGCTCTTTTGCATCGATTTCACCACAACATCTATTTCTCGCAGGAATGGGAGCACGAGAGCTGAGTGTTTGCAATTTGGAGAAACCTATTCCCAAATCCAACCGTAGCCTGATGAAAACACAGGAGTGCTCTTGCTCCGTGGAGTACACACAGATCTTGTAACCATATGAGAGCAGATTAGAAGCAAAGACTGTTATGTATTGTATACCTAATGGTCATCTATTCAGCTATTATACTTATCTCTGTCCAAGTGGAACAAGATGTTACCGCTGGGATGACAAAGCATCCCAGCGGTAACATCTGACAAAGCTTTATTCTTCATTAGTCCCCCAACAGACCACAAACAAGACAAGACTATACAGTGCTGCTGCCTTCATTTTCACCATTTCAGGCCATTTTGACTGTCAAGAAAAAAAATCCCCATTACATCCATGTCTTTGATCCCTAAAATCTACTCAGGGATAAAAAGAACAAGGACTGTGAAGTTTGAGGTATTTTTTAAAATAAAAACACTGAACCTAGTGCCGGTACCAAAGGGAATCAAGAATAGGCTGTATATAAACAATGGACAACGCCACTGACATTTGTGGACTTACATTTTGATGATTTGAGTTGACCTCATCACCATCACAGCTCCCATGATCATCATTGGGAGACACAATAATCGAAAGACAGCCACACCAGTGCTGTATTCTGTATGTTTACCCCTGGGTAAACATACAGAATACACGTATCATTGCTATTCTGTATTTTACTGTTAAGCCCAACAACCTCAACAGCCTCTTCTACCTCACGAATGCTTCACCACTGCTACTGATCAGATGGCTTCAAATATCCTCCAGTCCAATCTCGGGCTCAGCCCTGACTGCTACTCTAAGCTGGTCAGTTGTAAGCAATATCAAATTTTGATTTTGACTCACATCTCAAAGCTTATCCAGTCCAGATTCTTACATCTAAGATTCGCCTTCAGCTGGTCTGCTTTTCACTTCTCTTTATGCTTCTCTTCACTGGGTTCCATTAAAGCTCAGAATCTGTGTTAAAACTTTATTAATAACTATTAAAGTCCTACATGGCCATGCTCTTGCTGCTATATAGCAGACCTACTGAGCCCGGCTTCTCTAATCATTCAATCGGGACCTCTTAACTGTTACACACTCCATTTTAAAACCAGAGGCGATCGCACTTTTTAGGTTGCAACGCCTAAAATTTTGGATCAGCCATCCTCAGCCCTGAATGCTGTAAACTGCTGAAAATTCATTTTTATAAATTGTCTTTTCCTATTTTATTTCCTTTATATTTTTGGCTTTGGTTTGATTCTAATACGTGCATGGAAGTATGCATGTGGGACTAGAAGTATGACCTTATGTTTGACTGTATGCTGGGAACTGAAAACTTATCTTTAATGTGTGGTTTTATCCAAACATTGCATCACTTTGTAATTGTGTGTTTTAAAAAGTGCTGTAAACATAAGTAATGTAGAATGAATATCACGCTGTATTCAGTAAGACTTAAGTAAGTGAAGCTATAAACTCGTTAAGGAAGTGTTTACTGAGGTGCTAAATCACGACACAAGGAGTCGTCTTTAGTCTTGGACACGTTTGTTTTTGCAAAACAGACGAGTCATGGTTTGCTGGTTATTAGCAATTAGCAAAAAAAAACAACACAAGTTTAACACAATTTTGCATTAGAGCATATCAGGACCTGGAAGTTAATTCCATATTTTACACACAGTCTATGGAGTCAATGTGGCACTCCATTTATCCATCCATCTTCTTTGGTTTATTCAAGTCACAGTCATGGGGGTGCTGGAGCCGATCCCAGCTGTCATAGGGTGAGAGGCAAAGTAGACCGTGGACATGTCTCCGGCCTGTCTCAAGTCTCAGCAGCACACTTTGTGGCTCAAAGTCTTCAGCTTGTGTCTGATTTACTTCCCACTCATGTTAAACCATGGCCAAACTATCACAAACTACTCAGGTTCATAATCTTTTCGATTTTCAGCATGAAATTGCAAAGTCACAAACCAATGACCAAATACTCAGGATAGATACATATTTCACTCACAACACAGCAAGAAGACTACTCTTGCGCTGATTTTGTAGTTTTTAGAGTTGGGCAATGTCTACTGAACTCCTTCATGACAACATTTACAGTTCAATATCCTAAACAGGCATCAGGATGTAACAACAGACTACTTGCAATAAACGCACTATAGTATTTTTAAATTATTTTTATGCACCTAAACTAACATGTTTTTACTGAAGCACTGTGGCTAAATAAGCTTCTTTTATACTTGAGCAAATCAGGTACAAGGAGACATTCACAACAGTCATCCTATTCCTCGATTTGTTGTTTTATTCCCCAGTTTATTCGTAGCATGCACATTTTTCTGGTGTTTACAAATATCTCTAGGAAATATCTTCTCTGTCCAGACAGAAGTTTGGAATAGGTGAGTGCTTAAACCCAGTTTTAAGGCACCAAAAAGCAACATTATGGTGACATTGATAATATGCAAATACCTTAATATCATAAGTATTGGAGATTGTGGTATAATTTATTTAAAAGCTGATGTCCTGTCCCCAACTGGTACTTTTGTTTTGTCCACATCTGTCTGTCCATCTGTTTACTTATTTTCTATTGTTGAGTAACTACAGAACAACAGATGCAATCAAATCCCAAACCGATGTACCATCGCCAGGGACAGTGCAATAGCAGATTCCCTAATAACACGCCATCCATCACAATCGCACTCAGTTCTAATAGCGGTTTTATTGTATTACAGCCTGTCACACAACTGAGACACGCAGACACAGCAGCAGGCTCATTCGCCACACTCCCAGCATCCTCGCATACACACAGACGAGCCATGGGCATCGCTCTCTCTCTCTGTCTCTCTCTAACTCACAACAACATATTTATTATATAATCAGCCAGATGATTCAGGCTATCAGAGGTGAAGGATGAAAAGAGGCTTTTTTCGTAGACAGCACAGCACACATCCTATCATGATGTAAGAAAAGACATTGTCTGGGTTTTTGGGAGTAACACACTAATGTGGAGAGGCTTGAATGTTGTTGTTGGGTTGTTTTTGTTCCCTCTGAACTTTGGAGACATCTCTGAGCAGTGAAATAAATGCATCAGGATATTTGACCATGCTGGTTTTTAAATTACAGGTTTCATCTTCAGGAGACCTGATTTGGTCAGTAATTGACCTAACTGTATGACAAACGAGGCGTTTTTTAATGATTTAGAAGAATACTTTATCGTTTACACAAATTCACACACACTTTAAGTCCCTGATGTGACCTATATTCTGACTGCAGGAGTCAAAATGCACCTGAATCACCGCAACTTTCTTTAGAAACATGTTAAAGACAATTGATGAGGTCACGGTGAAGCTTTTTCACACTTGTTTGAAATCCTACCGTGGGTGAGGTCAGCCGCCTCAGGCTCTCCCCCAGCGAGTCGAGGTTCACCCTTCTCCTCCTGGTGACCCTCTTGTGGGGTCCGCCGGGTGCTTGCTCTTCACCCGCCGGGCACACGGTCCTCTCGGCGGGGCTGCGGCCGTTCCAGAGCACCGCTCTGTGGGAGGAGGGGAAGGAAGAGAAGGGGCACCCTCGGATCTCCTCCGCCGGCTCCAACCCGCCGTCCCCTCCGTCTCCCCCGGGGCTTTCGAGCCCACAGTCCGAGCCCACCGAGCTGCTGAACGACTCGGAGGAGATCTTGCGCGACGACGAGGACATGGTGGTGGTTGTGCTGCTGAGAAGAAGAGGAGGAGGAGGAGGATGGTGATGATGATAACAGTGGCGGTGTTAAGGATGAGGATGATGCTACAGTCGGCTCCGTACCACGTCCACCTGTACACCGGGGAGTCATCAGATAGTGGGGGGAGGGAGGGCTGGCTGGTTGAGAGGAAAGACTTGTGTGTATGTGTGTGTGTGATTATGCGCGCATGCTGTGTCGGTGTGCGGGTGAGATAATGTCCAGTCCTGCCCGTGTCTGTGTATGCATATGAGACGCGTCTGCCTGCGTGTGAGACGCGGGGAAAGAGAGAGAGAGGAGGGGGTGAGGTCGACTGAGAGCGAGAGCACTAACGGCACGCAAACATTTATGAAGGGGGAGGGTATCACCTCTTTAAAACCGTCCTCCGTTACCCCCCTAAAAACGTCCTCCTCGCCGCTCCCCCGGGTGGCCAAACACTCCAGCGGATGCTTCCAATTAAAAATGAGGAGCGGAAGAATTCATCACGCCCGGCAACAGTGTTTATTTTTAATAAAAGACGCAACTATTTTGAAGGATATGTCCCCCTAATTGCCGAAACTGCAGAGCATAACGCGCTGGTCCACCGATAATCCAAACACATGGTAATTATTCCTCTTGCACGCGGGAGATTTTAACAGCATCAGAAAAAAATGTAGCGTATCTTCCTTTTTTTCTCCTCACGCTGCCCAGAAATCCCCAAAGTCACCGCAGATGTGAGATGCGTCTGCTTCCCTCTCTCTCCTCCTCCTCCTGCTCTTAGTCCTCTGCGACAGCGGTTCTCTTGTTGGTCCTCCAGCAGCTAACCGCAGTCCGGGCATTCCTCCATCTTTTTATTTACGCTCCTTGGCAGCTCCTTTGCCCTTTTTTGTTGCTTTAAGAAATGGCCGGTGTAGAGGTGAGCTGGAAAGGTAAAAGCGCGAGAGAGTGAGCGCGAAAGGTGAGCCAGCAGTAGCAGCACGCGCCAGCTGTGCTTCTAATCTGCGAAGCACGCGCTGTGAAGTACGCGTCAACGCGCTACTCTGTGCTGGAAAACAGACCAGAGCTAATCGATAGACAGACAGAGTTGGGCAATGTCATAGTCTTTGTACTTTAGTTTATTTTTGTATTACATTTTTTTATTTTGTATTTATTATTATTTTTATTTATTGTTTATTATTAGGTCTTTCGTATTAGGAATTAGAGACATTTTCATACACCCCCTACACACACACACACACACACACATTGGACAAAAGTAATTGGACAATGACAAACTGACATAACTGAAGAGCAGATAACTAGTCAGTAGGTCGCTGGTTCGCTTCCTGACTGCTCAAGCCTTCATGGGATGTTAGATAGACGCACTGAAAACAGTGTTTGTGTGAAGGAGTTATGTTGTATAAAGTGCTCGGGAAAAGCGTTAAATGAAAAGGCGCCAAGTGAGGGCTGTTTCCTAAAATAGCTAGCAAAAGTAGCTCATAAGATTATAAAGGGACCTGGGCTTCCATTTCAGTGAGTGTGGGAAGCACATCCCCCATGAAGGATATACTACCAATGCCTTGAATGCACCGGATAGTCTTCATTAAACTCTAAATGTTAATTAATACACAATAAGTATTGATCATTTTTGATCCTAACACTGCCATTTTCACTTTCAATAAAATAGATTTAAATCACTGTGGTTGTGTGTTTTCAGATCTTAAGTAAAAAGTGGCGTCACCTTGGATGAAAGCAGATGTTTTCTCCAAAAATAAAAAGCACAAAACATGCTCTCTAAAACAGTAATTAAAGACAAATCAACTATTCATTCATCTCAAATAGGCTATTTATACATTCTCAATTGATCTGTAGTTCAAATGTGTTGTAGACTCTACTGTGAATGTGTGTAATATGAACACCATGTAAAGTATTAAAGACAATCATTTTGTTTAAAATTATGTTAGTTTGTCCATTTACTTTTGAGCAACCGGAAAAGGGGGGAAATATAAAAATGGCTGTAATTAGTACACAGTGAATGCAATACTTTTACATTAAATGAATTAAAGATGGAAGTCTCCATACTGTCATTAACATGGTTTCATAATTGTGAAATCTTGGCAGACAACAGTCTGCTCCTCAATTAACTAACAGGAAATGGCACTCCAGCAGCATCTGATCGTAATCAAACAACAGCCATGGTCAATAAGCCAGGTCCGTGGCAATGTGCCAGATATGTTCAGCTCGGGTTTACATGGACGAACATGGCTCTAAAGGGTGATAATGGAGCTCCCGGCGGTGGCACATGCTTGCTGTATCTGATCAGAGGACAGAATGACTATCAGTCTGACGCTAACAACAGTGGCGACCTTGACCTCTATTAGCAGATCATGTTCATTAATGGCCCCAATGGACCAATCAGAAAGACACTGAGTCAGACAGACATAGTGCATGTATATGCTCACACACCCTAACACAATTTCCTGAAGGTGCGCGCTAATTCATTTGACTTTCTGGAGCAGCGTGACCCCAATACACTGCATATCATTTTATTTTTTCTCTTCTCTCTAACTCACACCCACACACTTTCTCTTGTGCATAGACAACCACACACACACACACACTCACACACACACACGAACGCCTTCTTTTTCTTTCCTTATCTGTCTGCATCAGTCTGCCATCCATCAGTCATAATGTGGGCATTTAATAAAGCCAACACTACAATAGAATAAATGATGTTCCAAAGGAGATAAGCTTACCAGCTGAGAGACTGCCTCGAGCTGGCTGCCAGCCATCTAAAGCTAAGTACAGACAGGGCAACAGATCACTGACTGTGCGATCATGGAAGCAGAACAGATAGAAAGGGCAACTCTTGAAATACTGTGGTAATCTCCTTCAATAGGCGCATGTAACACGGATGCCATTAGACAATAGAAATGTTATCATTGAAATAACGGATGAAGCAATCCAACCTTGAGTGTCCTTGGCACAGCTCCTTGCTTTTCCTACAGAATTAAAAATGGATTGATGGATGCACAGTACGTTTCGCAATGGTGGATGCACGGGCTGACAGATGAGGTCGGACTGGAGTCTACGTGGAGTATGATGTGATCTGTGGTGAGAGTGGGGAGCA